CCATACTTGGCCACATGTCACGTCACTTTCACTTTTTTTTCACTTAACATTTTCTGCACTACCGACATACAATTTGATAAAGTTAGTGATATATCAAATTTCAAATCTTTATAAGTAGTACAAATATTTGATATATATGTTTGTATATTCTAAAGTCTTATTTGAGGCACTTAATAAGATAAAATCAGATAAAATGGGCCACGTTTTCATAAAATCATCTAGAGCAGCATTAAATTGTCTACGCACATTTTATACATTGCTCTCTGTGTTATGTCTCTTTTATCATTTATATTGAGAATGTCACAAAAAAAGGTCTAAACTGGATGAATTGTCTAGACAAATTTGACACAAACTTCAAAATGCAAATGATTCAATGAACCATTATTTCAAAGAAACTACTGTGCAATAATGTTGCATACAGTGTCATTTTTACATGCAGTTTTAAGAAAAATAGTAGGTACTGTACATGGCATTCACAGCACAAAAATAATGTTTTTGGGAGTTACTGTATAAAATGCCATGTTATATTGAATTTCTTCTTTTGTAATGCTTTATTGTGCCATATCCAAACACACTCACATTCACTGCTGTGGACATATACAGCTATTCTGCTTTTCTCAAAGGCAGCAAGAGAGGCCTTTCTTTACCACAACTGGAAAACATGACCGGAGATGAATTCCACATATGAACGAATAATATTTTTATTAGACTACGGGAGCTTACAACAAAAACTCACTGCTCTAAAAGGCAGGATACTGAACAGATGACCGTACCATCATCCAGCACAGAGACTGACCGAAGTCAAATGAATGGAAATACTGCAGAAATAGCATTACTTTTCAAATATAAGTTTAAAACAATTTCCACTTGAAAGAAGAATCATTCTTTTATCAAGAAAATTAGTCTTTAATGTTTGAAAGGTGCATTAAATCACGCACTCAACGTAAGGTAAAGTGTCCCGCTCATATTTAAATTGCGCTTACATTTCGCACTAGCTCTTCATAAGTGTCTCAAACAATACGTGCAATTCTTCAGCCTTCACTTTTTATGAATGCAGACTTTAAAGGTTTTCTCTGGAGCCAGAGAGTTTACTTTCTTTCCTTT